CTGATGGGGTCACTGAAGCTCAGGAGGGTAAGCAACTTAAGTCAGGTCCCAAAGCCAGTACTTGGTGGAGATGGGACTTGACCTGAGATCTTGTTTGGGGTTGGAAACTGGGACTATTCATAACTTCCTGGGCCTCCCAGAGGTCCTGGAGGATGGCTGCAGGTTGTGGAGAAGGCTTTTACGTCATCAAGGTGCTGAGCCCGGAGGGGCTGTGTCGCAACCCCCCCAACACCACATACCGGGTTTCCAGGGTTTGCCCAGCCAGGAGGTCACGGTGATGCCAGGCGGAAGAGGCTGGTCAATGCCCTCCCAGTACACTCCACCATCGCTGGTCTCAGCCACATTGGTGAAAAGAGTGTTACTCTGGATTGTGGCCATGGCATTGGGATTGGTGGTGGCAGAGGTGCCAGGGGCCACCCCGAAGAAGCCATTCTCAGGGTTGATGGCCCGGAGTCGACCTGTTAGGAGAAGTGACAAAAAAGAAGGGCCAACCCGGAAAAGTTGAGAGGTGTGGCCATGGAAGGTTCTGCTCTGCTCCTCCTTGCCCTGAGCTGGCCCCCAGATCTGATGGGGAAAGCCTTTCTGTCTCTGGGGTGGCTGGACTACCAGGAGGTATGGGGCAGGTCTGCCAGGAGCAGTGGAGGGGAGACTCCTATGCTCCGGTAAGAGCCAGAACCGAGAGTATGATGCAAGGGCCTCTCACCATCACTGTCAAACCTCATCCAGGCGATGTCATCCCCCACACACTCCACTTTCCAGCCCGGCAGTGCTGGCCGCATCATGGCCAGGTTAGTCTTGCCACAGGCACTGGGGAAGGCGGCCGCCACGTAGCGCTTCTTCCCCGCGGGGTTTGTGATACCCAGGATCTGTGTGTTGAGGAGAGAGGGAACAAGGAGGAGTCACCAAAGGTCAGTTATGGTCTGCACAGAAAGGACAGCTAGGAGTTAACAGGGAGGACAAATGTTTATTCGTGAAACAGGTGCCAACACCTCACCACAGGGCTGGGCTGGTGGCAAGTCAAAGCCCCCTCAATGTTCAGCAGCCTGGGGCCAAAGCTTCGGTCACTGGGGCAGAGTCCCTGCCCACCAGCCTGGCCCCTGGCAGTGGGGAGGTGAGGCTAAGGCTGCCGGCCGGGCCCCGCCCTCGCCCTGCTCCCCGCAGCTGCCCAGATCTTCTCCAGGCCCTCACCAGCATGTGCTCCGCCAGCCAGCCCTCATCCCGGGCCAGCCGAGAGGCGATGCGAAGGGCAAAGCATTTCTTGCCCAGCAAGGAGTTGCCACCATAGCCGCTGCCGAAGGAGACGATCTCCCGCTGGTCAGGCACGTGGCCAATCAGCGTTTTCTCTGGGTTGCATGGCCACTGGCTCACCGGCTCCCCTGGGGACAGTGGGGTCATAGGGCTGACTGCTGGCAGGGGCATCAGGAACTGGGGCGTTAGGGGCTGGAGGGATCGGGCTTGGCAGGAGAGACACTTAGGAGCAGTGGCGGTGCCAATGAGTGGCTAAGGCCCCCCACCTCATACTATCCATCAGCTCCCATGTCCCTCTTCTGGGACATGGACGGATGACTTTTCTCAATCTTGTGCAAACTGGTCTGGCGACACGGCATCACCCCCAGCCCAGACTGCTGCCCTAGATTTTGGGACTTGGGTGTTTCACTAATGAGGATGGGTGGAATTTGGGGTTCCCTCTGAGTGCAAACAGGTCTGTGTTCTCCCCTAGGTGCAGCAAGCACTCACCTTGCCCGGTCAGGGGCTGGCCCACAGAGTGCAGACACTTGACAAAGTTGCCATCTCCCAGGGCCTGGAGCACGGGCGTCCCCAACCGGGTCATGATACGCATGCTTGCTACCACGTAGGCCGAGTCAGTGAGCTGCACTCCGATGCGGGACAGTGGGGAGCCCACGGGACCCATGCTGAACGGAAGCACATACATGGTTCGGCCTGTGGAGGAAAATGCTACCTGGATGGCGGGTTCTAACCTGTTCATAGCTTCAGTGTCCCTGGTTCTGTGTCCCTGCCCCGGTTACCCTGCATGCAGCCCGGAAACCTCTCATCCACAGCTTGCTGGAACTCAGCTGGGGACATCCAGTTGCCTAGTTGCCCACGGGCCCCACCGGCGGGGAGGGGCACTGTGTCCCGTTGAGAAGGAGTTACAATCACCGTCTTGCTCTCTACTCGTGCCACATCCTTGGGGTCTGTGCGGGCCAGCCAGCTGGGGGAGAAGGAGTTATCAGGAAGATGTGGCCAGCCAATCTCCCTCATCCCCCAACCCAATCTCTCAAGTCCAACTTTGACTCTAGGTCTTCTGTGGGCCTGATTTCTTCCCATCCGTTTGCACCTCAGTGGCTTCCTCTAGATTTTGTCCCATCTAAGGGGTAGTTCCCTCGGCCTAGCCTTCTAAAGGCCCTTGGCAAAAACTCTCTGAACTTGGGAGAGAAAAAAAAAAAAAAAAGGCAAAGGTTTTTACTTATATTAGCTTCTCTCCTTAACATAAAAATACAGACCAATCCCATTAATTCCTGATTCTGTTTCCCCCAAAGGTCCCATGCTTGCTCCTTCCATTGGGATGGTCTCGTTAAATTTGATTTTGTCTTGGTAAATCCAAAGTGGCCCAGTCCCAGCAGCTGCCCCCATCTCATGGGTCATGGGGCCCAGGGCGTACCAGTTGTTGTACTTGGGGAGCTTTCGGATAAGTCCCTGCTTTTCTAGGAGGGTCAGCGTGGCAGTGTTCTCAGCCTCGGTGCCATCACAGATGTGGATGCCCTCCGGTCGGCACAGGCGGGCACTGCGTTCCACAAAGTCTCGCACCCCAGCAGGCAGCTGGCCCAGATCTCCACTGAGTACTCGCAGGGTCTGGATGCTGCGCCATGATGACCAGCCCCAGGGGCTCAGCCCAGGCCAGGTAAGCCTGCAAGACAAGAAACAGAGAGGGAATGAGCGGGGTGTTCTCATGGAAGCTGGGCAAGTCAAGGGGACAAGAAGCTTGAGTGCTGCTGGGGAGTGTGCTAGAGCGGGTCTGGGCACAGGCACCTTGAAGGGCAGGTCAGAATAGGTGAGTGGGATGGGTTCGGGCCACATGTATCTTGCGGCCTTCATGAGTCTCAGTGAGGGACAGGTATTGGCCAACGACCATAAGGGCACATGCCTGGCTGTACGGAGTATATCTGGAGGCATGCTGAGGTTATTGCAGGCTAAGCCCGTGTCCACGTTTCACTGTGTCTGGTCGATGTTGGAAATGATGGGGTGCCCTGTTGCCCAGGTGACAGCTTCATGTGTCTGGTACTTGAAGCTCTCATCCCTGTTCTTCCCCTTCTCAAGCATAATTTTTTAAGTTAAAAAAGCAGCTGTTTTTACTTTTTTCTTCTGGTGTGTATGCTATTAAGACTGTGAAAGCCTCAGCAAAGGACCCAGGCTTTGAGATGGGACAGTCCCAGGTTTCTAGATTAGGGCTCTTGCACAGAGAGTGGGTAACTGGATACTGGGGTTCCAGGCATCAGAGTTAGGGATGCCCACCTGGGCCAACAAAGGTTGCATAAGATGTTGCCATTGGGTAGGTGTCTTTGAGCTGGGCCAAAGGCTGACTGTTGGGGAATGTCACTGGCTGGATTCGTGCCCATTCCCAGGAGGGCAGGGTCCCTGTTGTCTGTCCCTTTGCACTCCTGGGAGAGGGAGAAGCAGGGTCCGCTCTGACTGGCCTGGACCCAGGGTGGAGTGACCCAGAGAGAGCAAAGGCCAAGAGAGGGAAGTTGCCCTCCTTCTATGCCAGGGCCTCACCCACCAGAAACTGCTCCACACAACGGACTGCGTGCCCCTGTCCCTCCCCCTAGAGGTCACATGCCTAGAGAGCTTTGGGTCTTAGCAGAAAGGCAGAAAGGCGGGGGGGGGGGGGGGGGAGGACATCAGACTGCAAAAAGCTCAAACTCAGAGGCTGTAAGCCTGGGGAAGGGAGGACCCTCAGACCACGGATGAGGGAGCTGGAGCCTGGCTAGAGTGGGACCTGGGCTGGCTTCCAACAGAGAAAGCAGGATGGAAACCCAGTGTGGACACAGGGGCAGAGGAAGAGGACTCCTGGAACCTGGAGAGTTGTCCCTGAGCATTCATTTTAAAGGCACCCAGTCTTGGGGAGAGCTTCTCCCTGCAGGGGGCCTGGCTCAGGAAGTCTCTGGTGATGCTCCCCCACTCCCGTCCAGTCCCCTAAGTGGGACCTTCTCCTTTTCCTCTGCTCTAGAGACCACCCTCAACGGCTGGCAAAGTGGAACCAGCTGTGAGAGAGATATGGGGTCAGCTCAGGCTTTGGGACAAATGCTGGGAAGAAAGGAGGCTACAGAGGACTGACAGGAAGCTCTGAAAAGGGAGCAGGGCCTAGGGGCTCCCGTCCTGGACAGGGACCAAAGCCAGCCATATCAGAATTGAAAGCAACTTGCCCCCCTCCTCCACCTTGCTTCCCTCCTTCCCCTGGCCCCAAGTCCCTGGGCTGCACCAGGCTTCCCTCCAGGGTCCAGTTCGCGGGAGACCGGGTAATAGAGGTTTACCTTCTACCTTCTTTGGGGAGCTCTGAGCTCAATCCCCCAGGGATTCACGCACCCTTGACCCCAGGGCCCTATCGCTTCTGGTAGCAACTGGGGCACAGGGGTTACATCTGTAAAGGAAAGGAAGAGACGAGGAGACAGGGCTCCGCGGAGGCGAGCGAGGAGGGGGAAGAAGTTCTGAGAGTGGCAGGTCGAGACGGTGCGGTCAGAGACCAGCGAAGCAGGGAGGGGGAGGAAGGGACGGAAGCGGAGAGACCCAGAGCGGCAGAAGCCGCCCCAGATCTCCCGCGAGACGCCCGGTCCGAGAGGCCGGGGATCGAGAACACTCGCCCCCGGCCCGCCGCCGCCTCCGCCGGGAAAGCGGACGGAGGCGGGCGGGCAGGAGAGCCCCCCTGGCCGCCCCGAAGGAGCGAGCGCGGCGGAAGGTGCGGGTCGGCCCCGGGCTGGGGCTCACTCACCGCAGGCCGGGGCGGTACACAGCGGCCATGGCACCTGGGCGGGGGCTGCGCGGTGGCCACGAGAACCGAGCGGAGCCGGGGAGATAAGGAAGGCGGGGAAGGAGGGAGCGCAGCGAGCGGGAGCGGAGGCTGGGCGGGAGGCGCTTAAAAAGGAGGCGGGCGGGAGGGCGCAGGGGCGGAACCTAGCAGGGCCGGCACGACCCTCTCTCCGCCCTGCCATTCGGCCCGCTCCCCGGGTCCCCGGGCTCCAGGCCCTAGGCCCGCCCCACGCCCCGCATCCTTGTCCCTAAACCCGTCTCTCCCATTGGACAGCCGGGCCCGTCGGCTCCCCGCCTCCGCGAGGCCCCGCCCCCCGCCCCGCCTCGTCCCCTGCACATGATGTAACTTTGAGGACTCTTGCTCCCGAGAGATAGGGGCTGGGAGACACTGGGGTGGCAAACAAACCAGGAACGAGGGTAGAGGCCAGGGCGGGGGCCCACGGAGGCTGGAAGTCCAGAAACCGGGGGTTGGACATTGCCTTTTCCCTTCTGGGGACTGGCCACTCTGAGACCCAGGCTTTTGTTTTCCAGGGTCCCAGGGCTAAGGTTCCCTCGGTCCCCAACTCCCAAATCCCTGTTTCTTCTCCTCCTAATGAGGGCTCTCTTCTGCCTCACCATGAAATGGTGGTGCCTCTCCACCCCAGAGTCTTTCCTTTGGGCCTCTGTCCTGGCTGTTCTTGCCACATTCCCCTGGAGAACTAATCTGTCCCACCCAACTGCCACATATGGTCCTCAGATAATTTCTCAAGTTATGTCTCCATTCAGACATCTCCCGGCAACTTGAGACCACTAAGTATCACCCCAAATGCCATAGTAACTCAAACTCAAACATGTCTATGGTAGGCACCTGCCCAGCATTGACACCCCCTTTTTGTTAGTAGCACCCTGATGTTCCTTTGGGGAACCGCCTCACCAGTCCATGTGATCATATGGGTCTCCTGTGGGTAGGCTCTCAGTTTGGCCAATCTGTATGTTCCTCGCTTTGGCCACAGTGATTGCAAATGTTCAGGGATGGACATGAGATCCCTCTTGGGGGCTTTTTCTGTAAACTTTCAAAATGGGCTGTCTTTCTGTTGGGGTTGCTGAGCCTGGTAGGATATAAACCTAGAGCTGCTGGGTGTCAGCTTGGCACTGCAAAGCAGGAACCTACCCTAGATGGAAGCCAACCTGGAGGAAGCATCGCAGAGGGATGGAGAGCTACAGGTCCCTGATTTCGGTTGTAAGAGTCAACAAATTTCTTCTCTCGCTCAAGCTAATTTTCAATGGATTTCTGCCGTTTGCAACAGAAATAATCCTGATTCTCAGGTTTCTCAGAGTTCTGTGCTAGAACGTGTCGGGACAAGGAGAGATGGCCTCCAGCCTTGGGCTTGCTGTTGACTCTCTAGCTCTTCACCCAGCCCCCATCCTGGACTCAACCTCACGTGTATATATTTGGGATTCCTTCCTCCAGTCCCTATATCCAAGCTCTGTCCACACCTACTCCGCTTCAAACAGCTGCCTCTTTGGCCGCCTTTTAGTCCTAAAGGTGTGCACGCCAGGGGCAGCATGCATCTGCCGAAGGTCATCATTTCTTTCATAATCCTGCACCTGTTCTCATGGTTCCGCATCTCAGTGAATGGCACCAGCATCTAGGCAGTTGCCCCAGAGAAGCCTGAATCAGTCTAGGCTATTCCTTTCTTCTCTTCCATAGCCAATCAGACACCAGGAGCTTTGGATTTGTACTTCCTAATTAGCTCTCAAATCTATGTCCATCCCCATGGCCATTGCCTTAGTTCAGGGCTTACCTCTCACCTGGCTTCGGGTGATATCTTCCAAGATACTTCTTAGACTCCTGCCCCTCCAAATGCCACCCACTCTCCCTCCCAGCCAGCTACCCTCCAAACTCTGCATATAAGTTCACTTTGATGAGTTAAGAGAGAGAGGGAGAATGTTTATTGTGTGGACACCAGGCCGGGCTCTGTGCTAGCAGCTTTACATGCATCATTTCATGCAGTTTCACAACCATCCTATTTTACGCATGTGGACACTGAGACCCAGAGAGGTTGTCACCTGCTCAATGTCACATAGCTGCTCAGCAGGAGAAATGGAGTCTGAATCAAAGCCTTTCTGACTCTCATTACCAGGTTATTTTTTTCCCCTTCCAATACTATACTGTCCCCTAGATTTATGATTTTTAAAAAGGTGAGATCATATCACTTTCAGGCTTAAAATCCCTTTGAGGCTTCCTACAATGGGGCAGCTGATGTCCTTTGTAATCTGGCTCCTATTTATCCAACATTATCGCTGCCACCTTCCTACTTGCCACCTACATGCTCAACTGCAGTTTCCAGAACCCTTTCGCCGACCCCTTCTGCCCTTCAGATTTAAATTAAACATCCCCTCTTACGTGAAGTCAGTTTGACTCTAAGAATTAACATCTATCTCATGTGTATTGGTTCTATACTGTTTTTGAACTTCTCACACTTTACTATAGTTACTTTTGTATCTCTGTAATCCTCACTTAAGTGTTAGCTCCTTGAAAGAAGGACCCAAGTTTAGTCTTATTTTTATCCTAGTTCCTGGCAGAATCTGGCCTGTAATAGGCAGCTAATAAATGCTGTTTGAATAAAAGAATAAACAAGTCTCGCGTTCCTGAATCTTTCTCCCCCATTATGTCCTTCCTTAACTTTAGGGCCCCCAAGAGGGTTTCCTTGTAGTGTTGATTCCCTTTATTTGCTACAATTTTATACCAGTCCTGGCCCTCCTCCCAGCGTGGCCTACTAGCTGGCGCAGCTTTGGAGGCACACCACCACCAGGGGGCAGGGTGTGACCAGCCTTGCCCTGGTCCGCATCTTCTCCTTCGCTGGGCCGTCTGGGTCTGGCCTTTGGACCTCCTACAGACCCCCTGTAGGCCTGTAGTGGATGCCGTGGTGCGCCACCTAGATCCCCTCTTCAGGATCCAGGTGCTCATTGTCCCAGCCCTGGAGTGTTGGCTGCTAATGGCTCACAGCTGAATACTTCCCTGAGAACTACCTGTGGGTAATACCCCTCTCCTGGTGCAGCATGTATCCAGTGACTGGTTGATGCAGGGGTACAAGGCCTGGTCCCCTTTCCTCAGTTTGGTCTAGCCGAGCTCCAGAGCTCCTCTGGGGTCAGCTGAAGACTCTGTTGCAATTGCAGAACACTTCTGCTTTTCCTGCTGTCCAGTCCTGTTTTTCTCTCTGCTTTTAAAAGTCCTCCCCCTACCCCCACCCCAGAGAACTACCTGTACACAAGTTTCCATCTCAGAGTTTGTTTCCAGCTTAAGATATCCCCTAAACTCAACTTGGATACTGCATGAGCCCCCTAATCTGACTCTGATTCCATTTTGCCCTCCTCCACACTAGATCCAAAGTGATCTTTTCAAACACAGTCTGATCACGTCACAGTCCTGCCAAAAGTTCTTTAGTAACTTCTCACTGCTCTTGGAATAAAGCCCAAATCCTAAACTTGGACTATAAGGCTCTGCTGATATCTCCACCCTCACCTACCTCCATTCTTCCCATTTTCTTGGTTTCTACTCCCTGGCTATGTTGGTCTTTTTATTTGTTCGTTTTGTACACGTGTCTCTTTCTTGCCCAGAGTCCTTGCATATATTGTTCTTGCAGCTTGGAATCCCCCTTTTCTCCACACCCCCAGACATGGTCACTTCTTACTCACCCGGCCCGTCTCAGTTTAATATGTCTTCATTAGGCAAGCTGTCCCCGGGATGCCGCCCTCCCCATTAGATTATGTCTTTGTGAAAGGAAATATCCTAGTGCCTGCCCTTCTCCTCCATGGGACTCACCTCAGTTATAATGGTTGCTTTTCATGTAGGCTCCTCCCTAACATATGTGGGGCCTGGGGCAAGAGTACAAATAGGGGCACCTGGCTGGCTCAGTTGGAAGAGTGAAGAGCGTGCAACTCTTGATCTTGGGGTCGTGAGTTTGAGCACCATATCAGGTGTAGAGATTACTTAAGTAAATTAAAAAAAAAACTTCAAAAAAGAGTGCAAATAGAGGCTCACAAACCTTGTGTTTAAATTTTTTAAAAAAATATTTAATTTATTTGAGAGAGAGCAGGAGGGAGAGGAGAGAGAATCTGAAGCAGAATCCACACCGAGCACAGAGCCTGACGTGGGCTCAATTCCACAAAAGCAAAGGCAAGATCTTGACCTGAGCCGAAAATGAATCGGTTGCTTGACTGACTGAGCCAGCCAGCTGCCCCCTCGTGTTTAAACATTTAAAATGTAGAATTTATGTTAAGAAACTCTTAAATAAAATATGTTCTATTCTTCTACCTTGATAAATATATACATAATGGTCTGGAATTTGGTTCAAATTTGAATTCAGATTTGGACTTTATTTGGAGTCCTCAGGATTCTACAGTAGAATGTGGTGGTATGGGGAGAGGATGTGTTGGGCCACTGGCCTTGGGCCCTCTTCTTTTCCCACTCCTGACACCATCTTGTACTGTGAGGGGCCTCGTGTGCACACATGTGGACCTCTCTGTCAACACGTCCCAGTTCTGTCCAAGACCTCCTGCAGAATAGTCACTGTTGGCCAGCCTTTGGGTCTAGGGATGTAAGTACCGGTAGTGTGGTCCACTCCTGCAAGGGCCAACCCAGGGGAGAGGTCCATGTGGGCCCTAGAAGTGGGCTTGGGGCCCTTTGGGCAGAGAATTCCTGGGTATCTGGAGTGTGGTCCAGAAGGGGATTGGGTGTGGGAGGAGGAGGCCTGAACTCCTCACCCCATGGGGTGGGACACAGCCAGAATGGAGCCTTCCAAAACCACAGGGTCCAAGGCAGGGGCCACTCTTGCCTGGGTCTAAGGGCAATAAATTGATGTTTCCCTGTTTCATCAGTCTGTATGCTCTGTGAAGACAGGGCTGGTGTCAGTCTTTACTGGGGTGTCCCTAAGGCCTAGCACAGTGCCTGGTGCTTGATAAACACTTGTCAAAGGACACCTGGGTGGCTCAATCAGTTAAGCGTCTGCCTTCGGCTCCGGTCATGATCCCAGGGTCCTGGGATCGAGTCCCGCATCAGGCTCCTTACTCAGCAGGGAGCCTGCTTCTCCCTCTGCTTGCTCTTCCCCCTGCTTGTGCTCTCGCTCTCTCTGACAAATAAATAAATAAAATCTTAAAAAAAAAAAAAACAAAACCACTTGTCAAATGAACATACCAGCTAGATCAGGAAGAGGTTTGAAGATTTGGATCCATTACTGAAGATCTAGATGCCAAAAGCCAGAACTTACAGGGCTTACAGGGTCTAATGGGCTCCGAAAATGGGAGTGCAGGAGGGGGTAGTGATGGCATCCTGGCTTACTGACTGTGTCTCCTCTCCTCCCTCTTTGTCTTGTACCCCAATTCTCCTGGCCCTTCACCTGCCCGGCCCTCTTCCCACAATTGTCCAACATCCCTCTGTTTATATCTTTCTCCTTTTTTGTCCTTTGGCCACTGTGCCTCCTCTGTGGCCTGACCATCCGTCTGTTCCTCTGTATTTCTTTCTAGCTCTTGGTCCCCAGTCTTAACTTGCCTCTGTCCCTTCCTTCTACCGCCATTGCTCTTCTGGTCCCTTGCTCCTAGCAAGGGACCCCTTCTTGTTACCCCTTACTCCCGCCTTGGTCCTCTGCAGAAGACTTCCTCTCTCTTTTAGTTTGCCACTTAGTGGCACTTTGCCTACCTCTTCCATGGGCCTATATCCCTCCAGCTCCTCTAATACAAATTGAGAGCCCCCAGCTTGTTCTGCCCTCCATTCCAGGTTGACACCTACTGCCCCTTCCGCTAAGCCTTCCTGCTTCCCTTCCTCTGTTCCGTCATTTCTGCGGTCCACCTGGCGTCATCTTTTTCACTCCTGTTTCCCTGTCTCCAGATGTCCTGGAGTCAGTCACTCTCAGTGTGCATCTCCCAGTCTCTGGGTCCCCCACCGAGAGGGCCCATTAACCACCTCCCGGGGCCCCACTGGTTGCCACGGCTTCTCCTCTCTGTGCCCTTGCTCCTTTCCTCTGGCCCAGCCCTCACTGCCCAGACTCCTTTCCCTAGTCAGTGGCACCTGGTCTGAGCCCTGAGCGGCTCAGCTTGCCTGAGCTTGTTTAGTCTGACTCTTTTAGCCCGTTAGCAGCTTAGCCCCCCCCCCCCCCCCCCCCCCTTTGAGCCCTCCAGTAAACAAGAAGATCAGCACAGACCTGACAGCTGTTTGGGGGCAAGTGTCTGGCCAGGCCAGGCATGAGAAAGGGGCTGCATTCAACACTTCCTACTCCTTCTTCAACTCAGGAAGTTCTGGGCCCTCTTTCCTGGCTATGTGCCTCAAGGCCACATTCCGTGGACGTGTGTGTGATTCCCTGTCTCCATGATCCCCATTCCCATCTGTGGCCTTGTTCCCAGGCCTTGGTTCTTCTGCAAAAACAGCTAGATCCAAGCAATTACACTGAGAAGCCTTACTACTTAAATCATGACAATGGTCTCTGCTCCACGAAATGCAGGACAGATGTGGGAAGAGGGTGATGTCATTTGATCTAGGTCTTCTTTTTTTTTTTTTTAAAGATTTTATTTATTTATTTGAGAGAGAGAGAATGAGAGATAGAGAGCACAAGAGGGAAGAGGGTTAGAGGGAGAAGCAGACTCCCTGCTGAGCAGGGAGCCCGATGCGGGACTCGATCCCAGGACTCCAGGATCATGACCCGAGCCGAAGGCAGTCGCTTAACCAACTGAGCCACTCAGGTGCCCATGATCTAGGTCTTCTTATATGTGTGTACTGAGCATGGTAAGAGAGGCCCCCCCCAACACACACAGAGAGAGAAAGCTGTGTAAACTGTAGGTATTCTGTAGACCAGTGGTTCTCAAACTTCAGTGTTCATCAAAGTCCCCTGAGGGCTCATTAAAACACAGATTTTGGGGATCCCATCCCCAGAGTTTCTGATTCAGTGGGTTTGAGGTGAGGCCAGAGAATATGCATTTCTAGCAAGTTCCCAGATGCTGTGGCTGGTTGGGGGAACCATACTTTGAGAACTACCGTTCTCATCTGAATCTACCAGTTGGGGCCAGGTTAATTTTTGTAACTGTTGATCCTTGGGGCTGATGGACACCCAGGTGTCTCTCTGACTTGGGACAGAGGGCCTGTTAACCCCATGGGAACGTTTGGGTATCCTCACTAGGTAAGGAATAGCCGTTAACTCCTGGAGTTCTACTCTAGCACACACCCTGTTTTAAACAGCTTCAGACAGGTTTAAACACCTCCTTAGCTAATTCCCAGTATCCCCGTTCCAACTTCTACTCAGGGATGAGAGCTCTAAGAGGTGTTAAGGGATTAGGCTGAAAATGTAGGTCACCCCCCAGCCATCTGGGAACCAGGATGGTGAGAGAGGAAGAGAGAGGGGCAGAGACACATGCAGGGAAAAGGCGAGGGGAAGCAGAGGGCGTGTGAGGGCAGTTACAGAAGTGTCTTGGTTGGACGGATTGGTGGTGATTAGATTTCCATGGCCCGAGGTGGCCCGGAAGGAAGGAGCAGAGATCCCCACTCTCCCTTCTGCTGCTCCTTCGTCTGAGCTGGGCAGCCTGTCCAGGGACTGGGTCAGCAAGAGCGGGAGAGGCGGAGGATTGGGTGGCCAAGTCCCGGGCATTCATCAAGGGGACGGGTGCCTGTCTTTCTGATACGAGAGCTGTGAGGGGTGTGGGGCCTCACAGTGGCAGTGAGGCAGGGGACAGAAATGTGAGGTTTCCCGAGCACGGGAAAAAGACCCAACTGGCTAGGTCAGAGTGGGTTCGGGACCACTTGGACTCCCGCAGACACTGCCACGGTGCTGTTGAGCGTTGGAGGGTGAGGGCGCCGGGAGCTTCTCTGGGCCTCTCTTCCAGTCCCAGGCTCTCAGTTGCTGAGCGCTGCGGGTGGTGTTCACACGAGTGTGGCTGGCCAGGCCAAAGCCGCTCTCTGTACCGGGGGACTGAGCATCTGCGAGACGGACCATCAGTAAGGAGCTTTGTTGGGGAAGATGTCCCCTTTCCTTCCTTGAGAACAGGCATACTTGTCCTCTTCCCTCTTCTCATCCCCCCCAACCCCCCAGGCCAATGAGATATGCAAATGATCCCCTTACCTCATTGGCTAAAGGCCTGAGGACCACAGATGACCTCAGAGCGCTGGCCCTTTAAGAGTGTCCTGTGGGCTTGGTGCCCACAGCGCCTTGTTCTGAGTGTTCTGAGGGCAGAGGCACCAGGCCCCGCTCAATGGGGTCTCCAGTCTCTGGGGACGCTGTGCCTGCCTGGCTCTGACACTGAGCACATCGTCTCTACCATCCTCCTCGTGAGTATATTCAGGGCCTACCTGCATGCCAGGCCTCTCACCTACAGCCTCCTCCTCTGTCACTGCTGTCTGCTCTCTGTTGTCTATCTTCAAGACTCCTCACACTTCTGTCCCCTGCCCCACTCCCACTCTGACTGGCTTTATGTCCCTCACGGCTGTCACGGCGGAAAGAGAAATAACCCTCCTCACTTAGCTCTTCATTCAGTTCTCTCTGGACGCCTCTCTCAGTGTTTCGCCATCTCCTCCCTGCCAAGGATCATTCCTTCAATCTGTGTCTTTGTTTCTACCACCGCTGTTCTCTCAAGGGTGAGGGGCTCAATAGATAGGGCAACAACCCTTTCCTGGGACAGGAAGAGCGAAAGACTTGTCCTTCCCCCCCACCTCTCTGGGCAGAGCCTGAGGGTCTGAGAAGTCATTAGAAAGAGGGCTACCTAGGCTTGAGGTGTCAAGATGGAGCCAAATGCCAAGCTCTGGGGATGAGCACTCTCTGCCTTGCCCCTTCAGGGGCTGGCAGTGGGGCTGTTGGAACCGGGAGCTGGGCTAGAGCTTGGGAGTTCCAGGCTGGGAGGGATCTCTGAGGTTACCTAGCCTGAGGTTCCTCAGGTGAGCGCACACTCTGTGGTTGATAACAGGGAATAGAGCTCCTTGGTGACATAAGTGTGGGACACGCTGGGTTGAGGTTGAACAGATGGTTTACTGAAGGACTTCTCAGATTAATATGCTGCTGTGCTTTGTGAATCTGCAGAACGTGGGGATGGGAGGCAGCATTTCTCGAAATTATCTGAGCATCGACTTCTTCTTGGGTATTTCTCAGACTTAGGATTTCCCAGAACACTCTTTGGGAAATGGTAAAGTCTAACTGGCTTTATTGAACAAAAAGAGAAACTGGGGTCAGAAAGGGGGAGGTGATCTGTCCAAGTTCACACAACATAGCAGGTTCTGGATAGAAGGAGGAAAACCAATTTTAGTTGGTTCCCTTTGGAGAGATTGGCTTGGGGAAAGAAGGTCACCACTCAGTCCTAATCTTTCTAGAACCGATTCTAGGACCTTTCTTTTTTCTTTACAAAGTCTCATGCTCCTATAAAAGGGATTAGTTGATTGATTAACCCATAGAACAGATGTGCACTGAGGACCTTCTATGTGCAAGGCATCTATCTAGGTGTTCTGAAAGAGAGGTATAACAACTTGTTATCCTTATACATTAAAATTCATGGCATACATGCCTTCCCATTGTCCTAAAATAGACACTCTGTCACAGTTAATTAAGCAAAATTTTTTGATTGCTTGGAAATGGAATGATGTCTCTTGAGATGACAGCCTCTCAGTATGTCCCAGCACTAGAGCTGGGAGCACTGCCATATTCCTCTTGTTTTTCATAGCTCCCAGAGGCACCAGTGGGGCCAGACGCTGTGCCATCTATCCTCTTCCTCAATCAGGCCTCTGAGCTGCTTGCCCCCAGTCAGGAGCCCCTGCCACCTGAAAAGGTGCTCCAGCCCAGAGGTGACTCTTTAGGGAACAGAGTTGCACCATCACCCGGGCTTTCCAGAACTCTGGCTCTCCAGGGCACTTGGGCTTTGGGAGAAGCAGGTTCTGGTGAAGGAGGCTGGCAGGCAGCCTCCAGGTGCTCCAAACCTCTCCTCTGTTTTTGCAGGTGCACCCCTCCCAATCCAGCCCCAGAATGGCACTGCCTCCCAGCCCCCTGGCTATGGAATATGTCAATGACTTTGACCTGATGAAGTTTGAGGTAAAGCGGGAACCCTCTGAGGGGCGATCTGGCCCCCCAACAGCCTCACTGGGCTCCACACCCTACAGCTCAGTGCCTCCTTCACCCACCTTCAGTGAGCCAGGCATGGTGGGGGCTACTGAGGGCCCCAGGCCAGGCCTGGAGGAGCTGTACTGGCTGGCCACGCTGCAGCAGCAGCTGGGAGCTGGGGAGGCACTGGGGCTGAGTCCTGAGGAGGCTGTGGAGCTGCTGCAGGGTCAGGGTCCAGTCCCTATTGAGGGGCCCCACAGCTACTATCCAGGGAGCCCGGAGGAGACAGGAGCCCAGCATGCCCAGGTGAGTGATCACTGAGTTGCCCTGAGGGGAGGCAGGGTGAGGGAGGACAGCCCAAGAGAGGAAGGAGAATTCCTGGACTGGGTTATGGACTGGGGAAGAGACAGAGAGCAGGAGAAAAGGGCCCTTGAAAGAAATCAGAGAAAACTACCTTCAGCTCCCTCCCCTTTTTCCAAATGGAGAGAAATGGGTACTCCGAACCAGGAGGAAGAGGGAGAAGACTGGGTTAGAAGAGGACCAAAAGGGGAGAGTTGAGAATTAATGGGGAGCGGTTCTTTACAGGGAGGTAAATACACTCTGTGGAAACCAAGGAAAGAGTTGTGTGGGGAATGGAGTGGAGTTGAGACTGTGGGAACGGGAATGAGGTTGGCCTTTTCAAACATCGTGCTTCCCCAGCCCCCAATCTTCTCAGGAAGGATTGGGACTCATCCTATTAATTATAGACACAGATGGGAGTGTTGAGGGCATTAGGATGTAATCCAAATCCTTTGAGGGTCACAGGGTTGCGGCCTTCAGGACAGGGGAGCGAGGTGCATTGGCGGGGCGGGGTCTGCCTGGGCGCGTGTCCACTGGACACCAAGAGAGCCTGGAGCGGGACGACGAGGACCGCGCCGAGTTGGCGCGGGTTTCCGACTCGCGACTGGCTCACCCGACCGCGGGAGGCGGGGCCTACAGCGCGGGGCGGACCCAAAGGGGCGCGCGCTCCCCGAGGAGGAGGGGCTTGTTGGGACCTGGGGCGGGGTCTGGACTTGCGGGGTGGATTAGGTGGAAGGGCGAGCATCGGGTAAGGCGGGGGCCGGGGGCCGGGGGCGGAGCCTCCCCGGGGGCGGGGCAGTCCCGCCGGCGACCAGAAGGTGGAGCCGGGCGGGCCCCCGGCGCTGACCCGCTCTCCGGCCGCTCCCTCTGCAGCTGGCCGAGCGGTTTTCCGACGCGGCGCTGGTGTCGATGTCTGTGCGGGAGCTCAACCGGCAGCTGCGGGGCTGCGGGCGCGACGAGGCGCTGCGGCTGAAGCAGAGGCGCCGCACGCTGAAGAACCGCGGTTACGCGCAGGCCTGTCGCTCCAAGCGGCTGCAGCAGCGGCGCGGGCTAGAGGCCGAGCGCGCCCGCCTGGCCGCGCAGCTGGACGCGCTGCGGGCCGAAGTGGCCCGCCTGGCCAGGGAGCGCGACCTCTACAAGGCTCGCTGTGACCGGCTGACCTCGAGCGGCCCCGGGGCCGGGGACCACGCCCACTTCTTCCTCTGAGCGGCTAGGGGCCACCGAGGGGTGTCCTGGGGGGGATGGAGGGGCACCACGCAGGAGGCCACTGTACCGTTCACTAGATGGTTACTGAGCGCCTTCTGGTGCCAGACACTCCGTGGTATGACTATACATAAATATCCCCGAACTTCCGGGACCCTCAAGGCATGCTCCGAGGTTAGATGCTGGTCATTTTCTGGGAGAGAGGTCTTCTCTCCTCACGCAGGCAGCACACAGAACCCTCCACCTCCTGTTCCACCCCACATGACCAGGACACCGAGATCTGGAGGAGCCAGTGCCGGGCACTGTGGGGGAGGGGGGGAGGGCGGGGAGGCGTGGATGATGGCTGGGTGACAGCGAATGGGAGGCGAGGGAGAGGTGTGACTCCCCCTCAGTTTAGATTTTAATTCAAGGTTTTCAACCTGTAGTGCATTAAGGCGGTAATTAGCAATGAAGCTGTCTTTTCGTTCCGAGGCTTGGAAACTCCCCATTTTAGGACTACTGCATTTTCAAGATCTCAGTTACCAACAGCAAGACAGACTAGGAACTCTATCCAAGAGGCTTTCCTCCCACCCAACCCGGTGGCCTCCAGCGCCCAGAGCAGCAAAGGCCTGAAGAGCTCTGGGAGTGGTTGGTGTGGGCTGGGAGAGAACTCTGGGCAGGAGTCTGGGGACCTGGGTGCTAGTCCCAGCTCTGCCACTGGATACCTCTGTCACCTTGAGAAAACCACTTGCTCCCTGGGTTTTGGTTACCTGCTCTAATCCTGGGTTGGAGACTTCTGACACCTTTCCAGTTCTGGCATCTCCTTGGTGTGGGAGCCCCAAGAGCCTCCCCAAGAAGCCCCCAGGACGACCTCACCGAAGGGACTACCTGTCCTGCTCCTGCTTCCTGATTGAAGCCTCTGCATCGGATGAGCCCCCGTACTGGTCCTCTGCTGCTCCCTCCAGGCTGCCTTGGCCTCCAGACCTGCATAGGGTACCCTTGCTACCTCCTGCCTTGCTGAGGGCTGGGGTGAGATTTTACCCAGTATGACAAGATGCTGAAAGAATGCAGATTTTGTGAATTAAACTTGAAGTTCAGGCAGAACTTGATACTATTGGCTAAATGTTCTTGCCATTTAAGAAGTGTTCATTCTTTAGCCTTGCTCCCGGCTTGTGTGTGTGTGTGTGTGTGTGTGTGTGTGTGTGTGTGTGTGTGTGTGTGGTGAATCTCAGTTCCGCAGGCCCAATGAAAATGGGGTGGAAGGGTGGGGATTGGGCCAGATGGAGCCTCCTCCTCCTCCCACCATTGCACAGAAGCCCAGAAGCATCAGTGACTGGGCCAGGCTTGCCTATGGCTATCCTGAGGTCCCACAGTTGCCATGGTTACCCAGCCCTCTGGTTCATCTGCCTACAGAGAGAGTAGGCGGGGGCTCTGGGCAGAGCAGAGGCATTGAGCTAGGAGCAGCTACCTCACCAGCCACTGTCGTAGGTCCTCTAAGGGACATAATAAATAGGGAGAAGCAGTTGAGGGTGGGGAAGAGGCTCCCATATGTCTCTCTTCCTTTCTGCCCCCTCTATCCACCCCTTCCCCAGCTGTCTCTTCCCATCACAGTTATTCCCTCCTCCCCCTCCTCTAGCCCAGCTTGTCCCTCTTCCACTCAGGAACCTGCAATCGTAGGCATCTCCTCCATCTCCCCCAGGATTTCTTTTTCTTCTCCTCTCCTTCTCCACCACTGGCCATTGGCCACCCTCTCTAGCTCTGGCTGAGTGGCTCACAGCACGTTTGGCCTCTCCTCCTTCATCTCCTTCATCATTGAGGGAGAGGCTGGGGCAGGGAGGGTCCCTCCAGGATCCTGTCTTTTCTTCCCTGGCTCTGGATATCACCTGTGTTCTCACCTGCTCTCTGGAGCTTCAATCCAGACCCAGCACTGCTCTTGCACTCCTTCCTTAACTGGCTGAGGCCCTGCACAGCACACACACATGGGCAGAGACGCCATCCCCAGGAACCTACCCCCATACACACAATCAGCCCACGTATACATACACCTGGGGCTCAAGATGAGGCTCGTACAGAAGTTGCACACTAGTGATTTAGGGTGTGGGCACTTCAGTCAGATGGGTCTGGGCTCAATTCCAGGCTCACCAGTTCTTTGATGATGGGTGGATTTAAATGAAGCCTCATTTGATTTGAAGAAAAATGGGGAAAATGATGCTAACTACCTAGTGAGAGTGAATGCATTTAAAGCACGTAGCACAAAGTTTCACACATGGTGAAAAATAATGTTCACTGCTGTTGTTAATGTTATTAAGGGTACACAGCCTGACTTTCTGAAACATTAAGGCCACACTCGTGGAGAGGCAGGGATGTGCAGTGCATGAACACATGCGCACATTCACACATCCAGGAAAACCAGGCTGTGCAGACCTCAGATGCCCCCTCTGTGTTCATAATCCACTCAAAGACCTGCTGCCCTCCTTCAGTCCCCCCAACACCCCTGCTTGGCCCGCCCCACAGCTGTGTGGGGGCTGGAGTGCAGCTCCTAGGGGGCTCAGCTGGGCTTCTCTAGAGACAGCTGCAAGAGGGCATCAACCTGCCCCTTTGACAGCCCCTCATTACCACCCCACATCTCTGGTAATTAACCTCCATGGTGCTGGGCCCCCTGGGGTTGGGAGGTGAGGGTAGGGGCTCCTCAGATCCCACTAGCACACAGTTGGGGTAAAACCGCTGAGATACCAGGCTGCGTGGGAGCTCTGGGTCAGATCTGAAAGGTGCTGGTCCTCATTTCTTAATGGTGTGTGTGGATGGGTGGGCGTTATGGACTGTCCATGGACATCTGAGGCATGATAGATAGAGGCTGAGGTGCTAGGAGTGGTTCCCTTTATTAACGACCAGAAAGTCAGGATCACTGAAGAAAATCACAAGGCTGAGGGGTATGGGGCCTGGAGAGAAAGAGCAGGGCTCACCACGCACTTCCAGGACCTAGGGGCCACAGCTGGTCCAAGAGGGAGAGGCACTGGTCACTCGAGTCACAAGGGTCAGGACAGGCACCTGGGACAGGGTGGGATAGTCATCAGCACCTTCCTCCACACCACACCGAGCCCAGATGCGCTCCACCAAGCCCCACCTTGCGCCCCTGTCCACTCCTTTGGGCCCCGGGGACTCACTGAGAGGCTGAGGGAGGGCTGGTCCGGTGGGAGGCAGTCACGGGCTAGGGCTGGGGGTCGTGGCCGGTGTGCAGGGCCTGGGAGCCCCGGGGCTGATGCCCTGGCTGGCGTAGTACTCCACCACCTGCCTGGGCACCTCAGCCAGGACGCACTTGGCAAGCGCAGAAGGTGCGGCCTGGGCGTGGGGGCGGCGACGGGGTTAGCGGGTTAGCTGGCCGGAGAGTGGGGGGCGGGGTCAGGCAAGGGGGCGGGGCTTAGGGGTGGCCTGCGGGGCTCCAGCGTCCTCCGCAGGCCACCAACCCGGTGTGGGAGAGACGGGTCAGATTTGAGGGCCTGAGGAGCTGAGGAGCCCTTCGGCCGGGAGGGGGCGCCGGGCACTCACATCCTTGAAGTCCCGAAAGGGCACGAACTGGACGATGTCGCGGGCCGCAGGCACCCCTCGGGGGCAGCGCAAGGGACCGTCGTCGCCATCCAGCAGCCGCATGTCGGAGAAGTCGGCATTGCCCACACCCACGATGATGATGGACATGGGCAGGCGGGAGGCGCGCACGATGGCTGCGCGGGTCTCGGCCATGTCGCTCACCACGCCATCCGTGAGCACCAGCAGCACGGAGTACTTCTGAGGGCAGGCAGCGGGGAGGAAGGGTAGGCTCTGTGTGCAAGGGCGTTGGCACCCGCCCCAAGCCCAGGCCCTGGCCCGGCCCCCCCCCCCCCCCCCCCCCCCCCCGCCCCGTGAGGACACCCCGTGGGGCAGCGCCTGGTTGCCTGCTTCCTCTCCTCACCGTGGCTTGGCCAGTGCTCTGCTCGCGCTGAGCTGGCCCGGCCACGCGGTTGATGATGGGGGCCACGTTGGTGGGGCCATAGAGCTGGATCTGGGGTAGGCACCGGCGGTAGGAGGCGATGACCCCTGAGATCTCTGTAGGTGAGGAGGTGAGGCCAGCAGAGATTAGCAGGGAGCCCTTTTTGACACCCTTAAAGCAAGGAGGTCCTTCCCTGTCTCAGTTCTGCCTGGCCCCCTAAATTCCTGACTAAGTGGGCAAGCTGGGTGATCCAGGCTCTGGGAGAGGAGGCTGGGCAGATGCTGGGCCAGGGGCCCAGAGTCCCAGGTAAGACAGGAGCTGAGTGGTGGGTTGGGCAGGGGCTGTGCTCAGGAGGGTGGAGTCTGTGCCCCTGCATGGGGTGCACAGGCTGTGCAAGCTGTTGGGGGGGCGGGGCTGGGAAAATCTCCCCTCTTACCTTCACATTCAGGGTTTTCCGGGTCAAAGTTGATAGCAAAGTCATGGGACACCTGTGAGGGTAAGGTGAGAGCAGCAAGATCTTTCCTCCTACTCTCCCACCAGATCCTCCCTTCCTCTCAAACCCAGCCTACCTCAAAGTTGGGGGGGATTCGAGCGCCAAAGCCAAACGCTGGAAACCGCTTATCACTGAGGAGAAGAAAAGGCTGTGGGGCCCATCGGGCAAGGCCTCCCTCCCCGTCTCCCCCCTCCCCAGCCTACCCTCCTCCCACCTGTCATAGTCCTGGCAGATGCCTCCCACTGCGCGCAGGGCCTGAAGGTAGTGGTTGGGCTGGCGGGGGCTGAGGCAGTGTAGGGACTGGCTGCTCCTTGGGTCCCCATTGGAGGCGGTGAAGTCGATGGCCACCTGGTGGAGGTGGGGAAAGGGTCACCCTGCATCCATGAGAGCTCACAGAGAGGCTAGCCCGGAGCTAGGGTCTGTAGGGAGGACTAAGGTATATCCAGTCAAGCCCACAGGTAGCCCCATCATGGAGTGGGGTGAGGGGTACAAGATGACGATGCTAAGGGTCCCGAGAGGCCCCCAGGAGGGGCAGGGGGGTTGGGGCTCCTTCTGTTCACTGTGTGTTTAGCCCCTTCCTCTTGCCCGTGTCCCCTATACCCCTGGGCCTTTACCGTGAAGCTGATCTGGCAGCCGCCCATGATATAATCCAGGAAGGTGTGCACCTTCTCCACCTAGCAGGAGGGGAAGAGGTAAAGTAGCACCATGGTCCTTTGAGGAGAGAGCTGGGTGGGGCTTCTGTGGGGGAAGTGGAGGGCAATTTTTGAGGTTGAAGTTCCCGGTGGGATAGGGCAAGCGTTCTCAATTCTCAGAAGAGGAGAAACTGGTCTTTGAAACAAGGACAGGGTTGAATCTGAGGGTCCGACGTG